TGGGCGGGTGGGTGAGGGTGTGTTGGTTTGTGTGTTTGTATGTGTGTGTATTTGTTTGTTTCTTTGTGCTGTATATTTTTTCTACTTGTTTGCTTGTTTGAGCAAAGGGAAACATGTTGGTACAATGATGATCATCAAATACAGACAGACAGACAGACAGACAGAAAGACAGACAGACAGACAGACAGACAGACAGACAGACAGACAGACAGACAGACAGACAGACCATTGGGAAAGAAAAGAAGTCTGTGAACAGGAATTTAATAACTATAAAAACAATAGTACCTAAAAAAACCAACAAATTATTTCCTTCGATACCAAATGAAATACATTTTTTAAAAGATACTTTTTATCGGTCTAATTCGACTGAAATTGACATCAGTAGAAATAAACTACAAATGAATTTAAAAATCATTTCAATTTAATTAATACTTGGGACCAGCTGAGTGGAGGAGGGTGAAAAAGCTGCATAATGTTTGAGGGTCTGTCGGGGTGCTAATACAAAGGGTTTTCCAAACAATCGTTCTATACACAACAGAAGAATAATAAGAAAATGGGGCACGTCTTGGGGAATCAACAAGAAGCAAACAGAGAACAAAACAGGACTCACTCAAATGAATTGTCTTGTACTACTAAAGAGAAGTAGAACCAACTAAAGACAATGCAGGGTTCATTTAAAAAAACCCAAAACAAAACCAAAACAAAACCAACAAAGTAAACAAAGTCGACACGAAAAAAACCACAACTATTAACTAAACGAGACAGACGCTGACTAGGCTAATTAATAACTGAAGAAACCTGTTATTAACAAAAAAACAAAAAAGAAAACCCCAATAATTTGAGACGAATTTACGGAAATATCAATTATTAACTATAAAAATGTGTGTTATGAACAAAAGAGAGGGATGTATTGCACATCTAGATATCGGCTTTAGAAACTTGTCTTCAACTTACAAATGTGAGGTGTGCTGACAAAACATGTTTTCTTTCGGCTTTTAGCGGTATGAAAATTGATACATCAACTTTTTAGGTGGAGTTTGTTCAATTTGTAAGTATGGAATAATAAAAGACACAGAAGACTTGAACATAATGGAATCAACTAAAAATCTATAAATCAGATCCCAGTGTCGATTTTCGGCAGATATCTCCATTCTTGGATCGCGAGAAGTAACTCATTTTGTCAGCACGCCTCACAAATAAATCTGATGTTTAGCATGGTACTAACAACAACAAAAATTTAAAAAGGAGAAACTTGTCGTCGACAAAAGCCGTAAGTGATTCAAAGACTTATCGAACAAGCAAATAACAAAAAGTGAACATAATATAACACAAAAGTATGTAATTAACAGGACTTAACTAAGGATGAACTTGCAGGAAAAGCTAACTGCTAACTTAAAGAAATAAAGAAAGGCGAAAATTATACAAACTTGTCTTTTTATCACCATCATCCACTTTGGGGTTGGGTTCTGACCCTGAGTCTCCAGCGTCCGGGGTTCCAGACCAGTCTGTGAGACCAGTGGGGGGTGGGGGTGGGGGAGGATGGTAGAGAATACAGTCAGGACAGGGTGGTAG